CTAGCACGTACTTCAAGAACAGAATCTGGTGACAGGAAGTGTCACAGTTTGAGCAGAGCTTTAAAGATGAGAATTTTCTCGGGTTGACAAAGTTTTAGGTAATTTTGTGTCACCTAAATGCTATGTAATTGCAAAAAGTCAGCACAGCTATAGTACGGTATCTATAATAAATGGCACTTCTTCCGATAAAATCTGTGCGTACCAACCAAATGATTTGATTCTATGAGCTATGTGTTAGTGAGGACACTGACATGCTTGGGTTTAAGCAGAGGTGAGATTCTAGTACGTGGTATTAAGATGAGGATGATAGAAGGTGTACTTAATCTAGGAAAGCAGAAGTTCCCTGATGGTTGACTTCAAGCACTCCAATGGTAGCCATCTGCCCAGTGCCTGATTCTAATGATAGAGTGGTATCCTTACAAATATGTAGCATGGACCTGTAATTGCTATATCACAGCCCAGCTATATCTGGAGAGGTTGACTGATGCATGATCAGGAAGCCAGGGTTTCTGAATCCTACCTTCAAGCCCCCATGTCTACCTCACCAGTTCCCCAGGCAAATGAAGACTTTCGCAGCCACCTGCGTGGATGTCTGAAGTAGTTTCCTACCTCAGGAAAACAAGCAGGCCAAACAACCCACAGCTCCTCCTTCTTCCTTTCACTTCAACCCATTCCTAAGCTCAGCTTTATTTATGGTTCTGAAGATTTCAAAGATGAACAGAAAGCAACACAAACATTAAATCACACTGACTTATTTGTTCCCCACACAGTAAATCCTCTCATGGGACCAAAGTGTGTGAAATAGCTAGTGTTCCTGAATCTTCCCCAAATCGGTCCTGGAGTATGGGAGAAGAATGGGGGCAAGAGGGGCTGCCAGCGTCCCCTGAAGGCCAAGACACCAATAAACAGGAAGGACTGGAGCCTTAGTTCACATAGGTCCATGTAGACTGGACACTAGAACACAGCTGTCGCTTTCCACAACGACTCTCCTCCCACAGGACTGTGCAAGCAGACACAGTAAGATAACATTGGCTTCACCCTAGAGGCTACTCTTGGCTCCAGAAAGTCAATCCTTTTCAGATATAGCAGACCTCCTGGAGAGGGAGTGAGCTGGCTTCCAAGTAGGAATTTCCTCATGTTTGGCTTTCAAGAAAGAGGTGGAGGTTCAATTGTCGGGAGTTTGGAAAAGATCCCTCCTGCCACTGGAAGTTGATACCCTACCCTTTCCAATGCTGAGTTCCTGTAACTCCCAGATCACCAGCAAGCAGTTTGGCTGCTGCTTTTCCTGCCATCTCTTCACCTGCTCATGAGTGATCCGCTGACTTGCAGCTGGAAGGCAGGGAGGTTTGAAACTGCTCATTGTCCTTATGCAAACTCCTCAGGCAAAACATTTTACATGAAACCCTGCGTGTTTGAGGGGATTGCATGGACAAAACTGTTTAAAGGAAGGGAGATGAATCAAACACCTTTCCCAGAGTTAATTTGCAAGTGCCTCCGCCATCCCCTTTCTACAGACAAGCAGCTTCTGGAATAAAGAAGGGAGGAGAGGTGTCCAGTGTTCTGATATTAATGACTTCAGCCAGATGGAACACAGGCTTAAGTCCGTGGCGAAAGTAACTTGTATTCCTCACCTGTTTGTACACACAATTTGGTTTGCTTTAAATGCACGTTTGTAGAACCAACATCTGTATACAAATTATATGAAATTCCAATACATTTTAAATGTAAACTCAAACTTAAAAACCTGCGTTGTATCTTAGGGGAGGTCTTAGGCTCCCAAGGAGCAGATGGGAGGCAGGGAGGGGAGGGAGTGGAGGGAGTGGGAGGAGAGGAGGGAGGGGGAACTGGGACTGGAATGTAAAAAAAATAAATTAATAAAACATACACATAAAAATCTGCCCTATAAACATCAATCACTTGGATCATTTCTTTATTATTTTAGCTTTTAGTTAAATGCTACAGTTCCATGTAACTGTATTTTCACTCCTCTGCAAGCCTGATGATGCCTTTTGGTTTCAAATCTCCCTGAGGCCCAAGGCAGGCTCTGATATTGATTTTTTTAAATATGGGTGAGGAATGCCCACTGTTTTTCTAATATACTTTCGCACTTGGGATTGTAAAAGTAAACAGTGCTTTTACACCATCTGTTTGAAAGCTGTCAGCTTTTTAAAATACAGGCACCATTTGAATCGTAAATGGTCCTTACCCAGAAGTTAATTTATACATTCACCTTTGTAACTGTAAAAATAATATACTTACTGGTTATGTTTCCAAATCCAATGATATAAACCTGTTTAGCAAACAAATGAAGTAAAATGATTCCATAAGCTACCATGAAGCAAAATGTTTACAGAAAAGTTACCAGGGAACCCGAAGAGATGAGGTGTAGGTGTGTTCTATGGCCCTGAACACCACCCACCCTCTCTGCTCTAGCAGAGTGATTCCTTTCTTCAGTTCCCTAGGGTTCTCATTACGATTTTGGTTCTCAACCACAGTAGCCTTTGGAATTAAGCAATTGACTTCTTGGGTCACAAATCAATGTGTTTACTTGATGGGGTTGGAAGTGTTAAAGGAAGATTATGGGGGTCTGCCGTGGGCTTTCTAGAGTTGTGGTGGGGAGTACCTGCGGAGGACAGAAGTGCTCCGTTGAGGATTGGAAGGCCGAGAAAGAATGAACTATGGAGTCCTGACAGGGTTGCTGTCCGCTCTCCTCTCTATCTTTAAAATCTGAGAGAAGGGGTGACAGGAATCTGTAGAAGATGCAGTGAGGGTCTGGCCTGGCAGAGATGAAGGAGTGGGATGCATTTCAGGAATGAGTTTGGGACTTGGAAATCCCGGTTGCATGTATGTCTGTGGCAACAAGGGTGGATGACAAGAGAGAGAGAACACTACACAAAGGACAGACTGTTAATCCTACTTTGCCTGCAAAACAGAAGACAAAACCCAGGTTGAGGCCCCCAGTCCATGCTCCAGTTACACAAACACCATTTTATTTTCAAAGAAAGGTGGGTTTTTAAAAGAGAAACTGTGAAATCCAGATGTGGTTTTTCCTGTGTAACTCTGCTCTGTGTGTGTTGGTTTTCTAAAGTTAAATGTAAGAAAAGTGTTAGTTCCTCTTTGGAACAGGAAGCTGGAAGGCTGGCCTGACTGTCCAAGGCTTTGTGCTGTGGAACTGACTTCCAACCATTGCCTACTTCATTATCTCTACACGCATGACGAGAGAGAGAGAGAGAGAGAGAGAGAGAGAGAGAGAGAGAAAGAGAGAGAGAGAGAGAGCACTCACTCGCATGTGCACGCTCTCCTGCCCATGCATGTGCATGTGTGCACCATAGCCTGTATGTGCAGGTCAGGAGACAACCTCAGTCCTTCCTTCCACTTTGAGACATTCTCTTTGCTTTGCCCGCCCCCCCCCCCAGCTGTCCCAGGAGCTTCACAGCATGATTGCACCCCCTATCTGCCTCTGGATTTCAGATGGGTACTTACCCTGTCCCTTTGCATGTGGGAATCCAAACTCACACCCTCAGTCTTGTGGGAGTGATGTAAGCACTGTATTCACGGAGTCATCTCGTCGGTTAACTTATTTCTTTCTCATTGTTTCCCTGTCTGCAAGGTGTGTACGAGATGTGTGCTAGTTGATTTATGGATGTTTAGGAAGTGTGGCATCCATAGTTGTAGAAGTCATGGAGAGAGGAGAGGAGATTCGGGTCCAAGAAAGCCAGTCTGGAGGGTAAGACAGCATCTCCCGGGGACATCAGGTACTGCCCAAACTGGAAGAGACAGCTGGAAAACACAAAGACTGGCCTGGATTACAACTGTTTTCTAACACGTCAAAAATCTGTGACTGACCGGCTCAGTCAGCTCCTACTACAATAACCAAAGTGACAAGCCCAGGTATATATTATCTTACTCTCTTCTACAAGTGCAGTCTTACCAGACAGTGGTGGCATGAGGAACTAAACAAACAATAACACCTCCCCCCCCAAAGAAACCAAGTATGGTTTTAACTATGCCTTTGGACCCAGAAAAATAGTAGTGGAAAACTCAAAATAATTAATTAAACTATCTTGAATTAACCTTGAATAAAGTTTTGACAAATGCACTAATTCTTGAGTTCTTAATATTTATTTTACACAATAAGATGACTCACGAAATGTAAATGAAACTGGATTCCTTAAAGCCAGGTGCAGGGATCCCAACTAGTGACTGAAACCTAGGGTTTAACGGTAGGCATTTACATTTTGTTTAAGTTTTCTTCAGGTTGCATCACATTGCGGAATAGAGCTCCTTCATCGCAGAAACAGGATCGTTCCAGAAAGCAAGCTTGTCATCTTCACTCTGCTTCCTGTTTCTTATTTAACTTAGTGGCATAGTCAAGAACCAGCTAATTCTTAAAGTCCTAAACCAACAGGCTTGGGAGTGGTACAGGGGGATGTTGGAAGGGGTGTACTGAACCACACCGAAAAACTATACCATCCCCCAAAGGCAGAGTCTAGTTTGATTGAAGCCAGGTTGAAGAAACTCAGCTCTTGCCTGGGGCAGTAAATCAAGAGGCTTAATTCAAGCCCTGGCCCTGCAGGCAGGAGGCAGGTGGTACAGAGAAATAGCTTCTGTGGAGGATGGAGATTGGGATGGGTCCCTATAAAAACAGAACAACTGGTGTCCAGGGATCTGGTGGAAAGTGGGAGGCAGGAAGAAGGGCTCAAGCTCCTTTTTCTGGGTCTGCCCGGGCATTTAATTTCCGCTACTGTTCATTGGGACACGGTGTTAAGATTAGAGTCCGGCAGTTGTCCTTAAAGAACTGAGCTCAGTAAAGTGGTTTTAACACTCCTTTTGGGCTTTGATAACTTCTCTCCTGTGAGTTGCCAAGGCAGAGAGGTGCATCTAATTCCATCCACATTTCTCCAGAGATTGCAAAACCCAGACCTACAGTGGGAGGGACGGGTGCCAGGCGGGAGCCGCCAGACAGGGCTGTGGTGCGTGCCTGCTGGCACCGGCAGCCTAGACCGTCCCCCGCGTTGGCACCAAGAGCCCACGGAGTTCCGTGCCCGGCTCTGAGCCTGGGACTGACAGCCGAGGGCAGGGTGGAGGTCGGGCTCCGGGTAAGAGTGCTCCTAGTGCTCTTAGCCTTTACTCCCAGGGCCGACCATTCGGGTCCCGTGTGATCCTCCAGCCGCCCCCGGGGCCGGGACGGCAGGGCGGCGGCGCGAGCGTGGGAGGGGGCTCTAGGACTCTGCCGGCCCCGCCCCGCCCCCTCCGCGGGGACCCGGAGCCTAGCATGGACCACACTCGGCGCCACAGCCATGGCGCTCGCCTGCTGCGTGCTGGCTGTGATTTTAGGGGCAATGCCCACAGTGGCCGGAGCTGATCCGGCCTTGCGCTCGCCCCTGCACCGCCCGCATATGTCCTCGTCCTCACCGCGTCCCCAACACGCGCACTCTCTTCCCAGCCCGTGGCGGCCACCGAGGACCCCGCGCTTCCCGCTCCCGCCGCGGGTACCGGCTGCCCAGCGCCCTCAGGTCCTCACCGCCCGGCACACTCCCCCGAGGCTCCCACGAGGCTGCGGGGCAGGAGAGCTATGGGGCAATACCACCGACCTCGGTGTCCGGTGCCTCCACTGGGCAGAGGTGCCGCCCTTCTTGGAGCGGTCGCCCCCGGCTAGCTGGGCTGAGCTGCGAGGGCAGCCACACAACTTCTGCCGGAGCCCCGACGGCGTGGGCAGACCTTGGTGTTTCTATCGGGATGCCCAAGGCAAAGTGGACTGGGGCTACTGCGATTGTAGTCAAGGTGAGTGGTGTCCCGGTAGAGGTGGCAGCTGGGGGCTGGCACGGAGGCAGTCTGACTCAGGGACAGTGTTTGTGTACCTCGAGACAGGGGAAGAGGACTGCCGGTTTGCACAGTGGTGTGGTGGGCTGGATAGCCAAATAACTAGTAAAGTGCATCCATTTGTACAGTGGCAGTCAGCAAAGCGTGCATCGTACGACCATTGTCATGGGGATAGAAGCTGTGAAGGCTGCTCAGCTCTAGCCCCTAGATAAAGTCTGTCTGGTCACAGCGTGTTTTTTGTTATTGTTGTTGTTGTTTGTTTGTTTTTGTTTGTTTGTGTGTGTGTTTTTGTGTGTGCGTGCGCGCTCACCCCTCTTCACATGCACTGGCAGAATTATGCATAGTAGTGGGTGTCTGTTGTTTGTATCAGCTGGTCTTGGTAAAGCGCTCTGTGTACAAAAGAAAAGAAACATACATTTTGCTAGAATGAGAAGGGAAAACATTAAATGTGAGAGAGTCCCAGGAAAGTTTCTTACCTCTATAGACCCAGATTTGGAAAACTGCTGAAATGTTGGCCTCACTGCCATTGTTGACTTTAAAGCATGACAAAATTCTCAGGCCAAAATACAAAGACAGTTATGTTCTGGTGCGCTGTATGGTAAATAACAGCAGGCAGGGAAGAACAAAGAAAAGCAGGGGACAGAATAGGAACTGCCTTAGCAACTATGGAGGCAGCTAGAGTCAAACGAATTTCCTTAAGCTGTGCGTGTCACTTACGGATAATTGGAGTCAACTTCATTCAGCAAAGAAGGTTACTAGCGCATCAAGTCTGTGGTAGCAGAGGAATCACATTAATAACTTGAATGCAAAAGCAATTAAATTTTTTTTTTTTTTTTTTTTTTTTTTGGTTTTTACGAGACAGGGTTTCTCTGTATTGTTTCGGAGGCTATCAGTCCAGCCCGGCCTCGAACTCACAGAGAGCAATTTACTTTTACACAGCATTTTACTCCAAATTGTGGGGGTTTGTATTTAATATTGAGGTTTTAATTTTTCTCAAGCAACAACTGGGAAAGGAAAAATAAAACATTTGAATATCTCCTAGTAGAATGAAACTTTGGCTGTTTTCAATGACACTCTGTGACAGGAGTTTCATAAATTTCCTAAGTGTGTGCTTCCAGCCTTTGGAGGTAACCTTTCACAAGGTCATTCCGTTCTCACCGACATTTTATTCGTCTCTGCCTTCAATTGGGTTAGTGCTTCAAGTTAAAGGAAAGTGATACGAAGGGTAAGATCAATTATTCTTCATCCCGGAGAATGAAGTCATCGCTGCACTCGTGATTCACGGACAGAATGCCAATGTGGCTGTAAAAACTCGAGATGATGTCAAGCGAAGAGCCCTGCTGTTACCTCATCTACTCTAAGACTGTTTTAATAAGGTCTGTGTCTAGCAATCATTGGCAGCTTTTTATTATTATTATTCTTAGTTTTTATAAACAGATGAAGAGAGAGAATTATTAGGAAATTAATAGGTAAGAAAAGGCAGGCTATTTTCCCTTCACGACATAATAAAAAGAATTCCAAGTTAAAATATTGTGGTCATCTATTTTTTCAAACACACAAATAACTTTCAGTTTTATCGTCTTAATGAAGAGAATAGCTTGTCTTTGAATTTCCTACCACCCCCACTTTGGAGAGAAATTAAAATATTTTTAAATGCCTTTAGGTTCAGAGCTAGTGTTTACCAGCCAAAATCTCAAATGTGGCTGTGTTTAGGTAACAAAATATAAGAGAAACAGAAGAAGTTACCCAAGATAAGCAACATACACATGAAAGAGATTGTCTATGTAATATCCAAATCAGTCTTACAGGACCCAACCTTGATAACCAAAGCCTTGGACTCTGTCATTCATTCTCGTAAGTCTGGCTAGCTATACTGCATTCTTCTGAGACATCTGGCATGCTCTGAGTCTTATGTTTTTCTTATCCCCACACATTTCAGTTAGGGGTTTGGGCAAGAATACTGTATAGTAATGAAAGAACGTAGAATTGCTCTTTAGAAAACATTGGTATTGTTCTGACCCACCAATGTTGGATAAGACTCTTAACTTAGAGATTTAGGTTTTTCCATGTAAAGAAGAGCAGGATGTATTTTTAAAAGATTTCTTTGTGTGTATTTACGTTGTGTCTCTAAGTGTATGCTCATGGTGTGTGTGTGCGTGTGTGTGTGTGTGTGTGTGTGTGTGTGCGTGTGTGTGTGTGTGCATGGGCGCGCGCATGTACCCTTTATTTAGAGCCCAGAAGAGGGCAACTGGACATCTTCTGTCACTCTACCTATTCCTTTGATGTGGGGGTCTCTCCTTGACTTCCTCTTGCCTCTGCCCTCCTCAGAGATGCTGTTACAGACATGGACAGGATGTTCCACTTGTTTTGTGGGTGCTGGGGTCCAAACTGCAGCCATCATTATTACATAGTCAGCACTCTTAGCTGCAGAGGCATCTCTCCAGCCCCAGCAAAAGCAGTTTTTGAGTAAATTAATTAAAAGAATTTTTCTAGCTCTGGGCGTGTATTCAGAATGACCTTGTCTATTACAGCTAGAACTCATGGAACACTCTCACTTTGTGCTGGATGCTGGACTAAGAATTCCTTGCTTGTTTTATTTATTTTTAATAGTCATCTTTATAAAGGAGCCTCTACACTTTCCTGCTGGAAGTCCTAAAGGAATATTGCCAGTAAACCAGAAGGAAAAATGATAGGGTGTTCACATAGATGTGTACATTTTCATTTCACAGCTCATTTTGCCCCGTCTCTATTTGTATGCAATGTAGAAATCACTGTGCTGTGTCATAACTCTCACTTGTTAGCTTGTGGGCTAGTCCAAGGGCAGGAAGAAGAAAAAGGAATTATGCTTAGTACAAGCACAATGCACATTATTTCCAGTATCTTATTCTTTAAAGGCATTGTTTTCCTTTACTGAAAACTGGAGCAAAAGAAAAGACTAGTACGTAGAAATGTGATCCCTCTATTAAAGCCTAAACTGGGGTCAGAGTAGAGTTTTGAGTCCCATACAGAGAAATGAGGAAGTAAGGCCCTCCGGCATGGTGCTGAAGGAACAGAATGGACATCTCAGGTGAGCGGGGTGTGGAAAGTCCATTAGCTCATGCTTCTAAGCAGGAAATGTGATGCTTGGACTCTGGCTCCAGGAAACTTACGTATTAGTAATAAAACATCTTTCTGGAGATTGGGATACCTGAGTCAGTCCAGGGAGTTAGTTTTCACAGGGGGCATTAAACTTTACCTACAGAGGACTGGTACAGTGGTTCAGCAGGTACAGCTATTTGCCATTGCGTCCGATGGCCTGAGTTTGATCCCTGATCCCTGGGACTCACATGATGTAAGGAGGAAACTGACTCCTTCATGTTGTGTTCCGACCTCTACATGTGCACCATGGAATATGGCCCTGTCTTGGTCAGGGTTCTGTTGCTGTAAAGGAACACCATGGCTAAAGCAATTCTTATAAGAGAGAGAATTTAATTGTGGGCTTGCTTACGGTTTCAGAGGTTAGCCCATTATCAGCATGGAGGCATGCTGACATAGTGCTGGAGAAGGAGCTGAGTCCTACATCCTGATCTGTAGGTAGAGAGAATGATGAGAGAGAGAGAGAGAGAGAGAGGAGAGAGAGAGAGAGAGAGAGAGAGAGAGAGAGATTCTGGGCTTGGCATACTTCTGCCAACAATGCCATATTCTTTCTGATGCTTTCAAATAGTGCCACTCCCTGGTGACTAAGCATTCAAATACATGAGCCTAAGGGGGACATTCTTATTTAAACCACCACACCCCACAAAAAATAAATAAATGTGAAAAAGCCCTAAAATTTCACCTAGAGACTTGTTAAAATGCTTGGGCTCTAGCCTCAGAGTCCTAATTGCCATGTCCAGATCAGGATTTGCATGGTGCCCTTCTAAGGTGAAATGACGAGATGCTGTTTAGGTGACTCTTTCGAAGTCCAAGGAAACCTATGTGAAAGCATCAGGGCCTTGCTAGAATGTGTAGTGAAGGTCGATGATGTCAGCTATGCTGTGACTTTACCTTGCTAGGTTGTAGCATCAGAGAAGACATAAGATACGCCAACACTGGTTTCCTGTGTGGTCTTACAGAACAGCATCATTGGTATTTATTTTGCCTGTGGTGATAACAACATAGTTTACCGGAACATCTATCTTCACTGAGTGGGAGCAAGAGGTCACTCTCATATTTCCACAGGCAGCTGACTGCCTCCCTCTAACGATCCTTTGCAATGAGACAGTGCTTCCTGACTCAGAGTGGCAATCATTTTCACGGTCTAAGTTGTCGTGACAAAAGGGGCAGCTTGCTTGACTCTGTTCTGAGAATTCTCCTTTTTAGCAAGCAGTGAATTAGCCTCAGGTAGAAAATGGTCGATTGAGTGACACAGTAGATTAAATGATAAAGGTTCAGAAGGAATATGTTAGTCAACTTCTCATCACTGACAAAACACCTGAGTTAACCATTGTGAAAGGTGGGAAGGCTTCTGCTATCAGAGATTCCAGCGCATGGGCCATTTGGCACCATTGCTCTGAGGTGTGGCATCACAGTGGAGTGCTCATGGAGCACGGCTTCTATCCAGGAAGCACAGAGAAAGAATAAGCCATTGCTCTGAGGTGTGGCATCACAGTGGAGTGCTCATGGAGCACGGCTGCTCGTGGCTTGTCATCCCGGAAGCACAGAGAAAGAATAAGGGGCTGGGGTTCCAATTCCCCCCAAGTGCTTACCCCACAATTACCTGTCTTCCTCTGGCCAAGCATCATGCATCTCTCAACATACTCATAAGCTGCTGGCCAAACCTTAGCACTTGACGTTTGGGGAACATCCCAAGTCATAAGAGAATGATCCCCAGATCCAGCCTTTTATCATCTCATGCTAATCTGTTCCTAAGTACTTAGCCATCTCAAATATCTTAGTTTAAATAGACATGATGGACACATGGGCTAAATACTGCTGTTTAT